CTGGGAATCAAAGTCCCCACCCGGGAGGTGCGTATGTGTGTGTGTGTGTGTGTGTGTGTTTAAGTGGTTACGACGTTAACTGGGCTTCATTTCCGCTCTGCTTTTTATTATTTCTCAAGCAACAGAAATTTAATTTAAATAAAAGCCGACGCGTACATTTGTTGTGCAGAATGAAGAAATTTTTAATTTTCTTAAAAGCGGAAAATGTTAATTACATTTGCTTTGGCTGTAGAAAAGAAACGGTACAAGCACTGAAAAGTAGTTTTCTGTTGTCACAATGGTGCTGAGAAAGCAAACTATGAGATGTTGAATAGACGGCGAATTGAGTGAAACCTTTTCCCTTGCTGGAGATTTATTTACTCTTCTCGTTAAGACTTTAGACTGTCAAAACGAACGAAATCTTCCGAGTACTCTTAATTAAGTATCTACATTTTAATGCAGTTGTGGTTTTGGTATCATATTAAATTGAATAAAGTATATACATACATCTGCGTATTTACATATATAAATTGACATGATTTGTAAAATATTAGATAAGCATAGTTGCAAATATATTTATTTTACTCTGGGGCCCTGTGGGATAGTGCGCTTCTCCTAATTGGTTGCCCACTTTTTAATTCGCAATACAAATATGGACAGCTCAATTCGCAAAAGGCGCCATCTGGCATGCACTGGGGCATTGTTCGAGCAGTCCGCTTGCCGCCTTATGCAGGAAGCCATTTTTCGAAAAGGTCTAGAGTTTAGCAAAATGTTTTCCTCCCTGTAGTCATTAAAATTAAAGCATAGACAGACGGCAGCGTTGGTCCGGATCAACTCGTTCATTCGGAATTATCTCGGGAATTAACTGCAGTTGATCCGGTCCTAGAGGCAATACCCAAACTTAACTCGGATGAAGGGAATTATCGATGACAACACTGACCAAAACTCAAAGAGCATAGAATACATATTTAGAGTATGCAAAACTGGATGGTCGGTAATGGACTTATTGTTTTGAAGATAGAAAGCTGCTAAGTTAATATCGAGCCCTAACCGCCAAAAAGGTGTAGGCGATAATTCTTTTCAAAATCTTTTTTGTGCAGAAATATTCCTAGAGCATCTACATAGATGCATTTCTGTCCACTTAATCTTCCTCTCTTAGGGACAAATTTTCAACTGATTTCAGGTCTCAAATAATGATTTGTCAAAAGTTTCTTGCTTCAGGACCGTAGCAGTGTTAGAAAAATACTTTAAATCCGCGTTCTCCTGAACTTCTTTCTATGGCAATATGGCAAATTACAATGTCCAAACCTATTGAAGAGAAAAGAGTGTTACTCAAGTGTTTATGGTGAATTAGCAGCTCATATTTCACACAAAAAAATCCTTGCGCATGTTCATTTGACCACTCATTCTTTTTTTATTTATCCATCGATTTTCTTCATAAATAGCTTGATGTTTTTGTAACAGAACAGGCTTTAAAACAAATGCAAAAAAATTATATGGAATATGTTATTTTCTAAATTTTTTCCTAGTCAAAGTTTGATTTGTTTTAAATTTTTTATCAAAAAAAAACTTAAAATGTGGAGTGATTAATTTATTTCTCAGAAACCTATCGAAAGGCGGTGTATACGTATGTATACGGTTTATAGAGAATTTCATAAGCTTTCATTTTCCGTATTTTGTATTACGATTGGACAATTGGTTTGTAAAATATACGTAATTAAGAGGAACAAATAATAGTGAATCGAAAATATCTCAAAAACTTAAAGAAATAGAAAATTAAAAGCACCCATAAAACATTTTTGCTGCAAAATAAACTAATCAGGCGTAAAAAAGGTTAATCATTAATCGTATAGAAGATTATGATCAATTGAATCTAATCATTAATCTCGGTTAACTTTTTAAACATGAATAAGATTAACATTTTGTCAGCACTGATTTTTTAATATGTTATTCATCCCATCGCCGCTGCCAGATTTCTATAGAACGACATGTTTGTTCTTGTTATATTTTCGCTGCCCACGTACATATATTATTTTTACCTCGAATTCAAGAACTTCTATTAGAATCAGCGGAGCAATTGCGATAATTGCTTCGAGAGATATATTACGTAATCCAAAAATAGTTCTTTAACAAAACACATGTACACTTGTACAGTTACCTTTTCTGCATGTTTTTTTGTACATGAAAAGGGCATTATTTCAAAATGTATTATTTTTGATATTATTTGCACAGAGTGTTCACAAAGCATGTACATACCGGAGCGATATCATATTTTAATTGTTGCAGAAAATCACAGTGAAACTTACATATCTTCCTCGTGCGATTAACATCAGGTCAGAAATAACTCGCTCCGTAAGTAAGTGAGTACCTTTGTGATATGTTAGTTTTGTCTAAACTGCAGTTAAATAACACAATCGCGCTTAGTAAAGCAATCAAAGATTATTTCCAAGTTTAAACACAAAGAAATTGTTGACTGGGTTTCATATATCCCTACTGTTTCCTCCCCCCCCCCTTCACCGCCTAGCATGTAATCAGCATTACGTTAATAGAGTTATAAAAGTTAGCTAAAGCGTAAAACGACACCGCTCTTTCGTGCCATTCTACTCTAACTGGCATAGAGACGCACACCAGCAACAAGCATCAGGAAGCGAGTATTACTTAGCTGTGTTTTTCACTTAACACGTTTCGACTTGCCTCTCCAGCCAATATCGCTGAGGAAGCATAAACTTATATGCATGAGTATCCTTGCATTGCGCAAATTTTGTAATATATACTTCCTTCTTGCCACAAAATGCCATTGAAGTCAAATGTGTTGCGTCCATGGGCGCAACTTACATACTTACTCATTTACTTACTTACTTACCGTTACTGCATGCATGTTTCGGCACACTCTGTTAGTTAAGTTGCTCAGAAGTTAATAGGTCGAGTACTTGGTGCCACATGGCGCATATACATACATACATTTACTACGACTATATATATATATCAGAGGCATACGCAAGAAAATTCAATCTTGTGTACAAAAGGAGTTTTTTAAGTATTATAAGTATATAGGGGGTGTGTGCAAGGAAAAAAATGCCTCTGGCAGGCTCCTCCAGCTTATACCATTTTAATAAAAATTTTCTCAAAAAAATTTATGATTTTTATGGTTCCGAGCCGCTTGGCTGCACAACCTACTCCTTGTTCCTATACTTACAACTACCCCTCCCCCCCTGCTTCATACGCCACTGCTTACCATATACAGTGCGCACTGCAACAAGAGCGATTGTGGGTACCACGCTTAGTCCTTGATCTCTTCAAAGTAACTTTACCTGGTTCTTTGTACTTTTTTGTTTTCTGTTACTAGCTTGAGTTAGCGCTGATTGGTAGTTAGCTCTGCTTTTTACTAAATTTCGTTCGTTATTATGTATGTATGTATGAATATAGTACATGTGAATGCTTTGTGCTCATTCTGGCTTAGCTGTTGCAGCTTCCCACTACCGCCGGTCTTCTCATAACCCAACTTGGTTATTTTCCTACTTAGTAATTTGTGTCAAAGGTTTGGGCGGCAGTATTTACATGTAATCGGTGTTCCCGTTTAAATTACGCCCATTTTAATTCCACTAATTTTAACCCATTCACGACATATGTACATAAACGGACGCATGTGTTTAGCTCCGACCATTTGTCGAATTTTGATCAACTCAAATGGAAATGTTCTTTGTTCAGCATAGTGGCGTTAATAAGAGAAAAAAATACATAAAGTAATAGAAAAAAAATTAAAGGGTTTTGCGCAATTTTAAGAAACTCTAACTGATAGGGCAAAAGATAATAGAACCTTCCACTTATTACCGGTTGCAAAAATTACTAGCAGCGATTATTAAATAAACCTTATAATACGGTAAAATTAGGTTCGAAAATTGGGTGTCAAGTCTTTTTTAATACTGTAAAGCTAATCACTAGCCACATGTTTTACATGGTTTGCAGGCGCCCTGGGGTTGTGGAATCGCTACCATTTAAGAAAAAAAAAGTTGAGGAAGGTTTTTACTAGATCAGTAAAATAGCCATTTTGGTCTTTACAACCAAATTATGGCCAAACGTTAGCGTTAATACTTGGTAATCAAGCCACAAGAGGATTCTTTCCAAACCAACACCAGAAACTTTTTACGAAGGGTTAAAGGCAGGACTTTTTTTGGTAAAAAAATGCATTATCTTAAACATAGTGTGGGTGACTCCTAATAAAATTCTTTATAAACAAATTTGTAGAACATCTTAACCCTCCAACTGCCAGTTTTTAAAAGTTCCGTCAAAAAGACCTCTACTGCTATAGGAGTTAGAGGGTTAGTACCAGTACTTTATATCTCAAAACAAGATAATATGCCTTAAGTCGATTCGTAAATAAAAAGTTAAGTAATTCAATTATTTACCAAAAGGTAGAAAATCATTAACCACCCTAAAACTAAAAAATTTAGATGGACGTGAGAAAATTTCACGACTTCGACAATCAGCCCTCAAATAGCTGCTTCGCTGAGTTAGCAAAAACTTTGACCACTCTCGTTTCCAAGAGAAAATAATATACTACTAGTAACATTCAGATCAAGATGCTGGTATGGTATTTTCAGGAATTGTAGTTCAGCGGTTAATTTAAGTTTAAGTGGAAGGTTCCCGGCTACTTCCCCCAAGCACCGATATCTTCAGTTCAAAATAATGCAGCGTGAAATGAGTTTTGCATCATTGCGAACAGTTGTCAGAGGTGAAGGAAAACCGCCTGCAGCATTTTTAATGTGAATGCTTTTTAATTGCAACTATGGGGTTTGCGAGAAAGTTTTAAGTGGTTTCTGTGATAAATTACGGAAAACTATGAAAAGCTAGCGTACAGCGAAGGCATTTTAAAATCCATTTAAGGTAAAAAGGACATACTGCAATTTGTTGTTAGCATCTAAATGAAATTTCTAAATGCATACATATGTTTTTATAATTTGTATTAGATTATCTTTAAAATTTTATTTCAATGTTTAAAAAATTTATTTTTTCATCCAGAAAGTACAAAATGCATTCTTAAAAATAAAACGGTTCCATTTATGTCCAGGCCACACGTTTGCGCGCGAACTTTGGGCGGGACGCCGATTCTGGAGTCACTACGCTGATCGATCGCTGTGTCGTCAAACGCGGCGAGTCGATGCCATGGTGTGCAGATGGCAAATCCTGCCAAACGTCCAAGTTCAAATTCGTAAAGGAGTTTGTTACTTTGGGCAGTTCTGTGGAAGTGGGTCTGCGCCGTCCATAATGCGTCGCAGAAGTAGGCGCGCTTGCAATCCGTGCGCTGCTGGGCATAAGTTGGGCAATGCTGACATTGTCATCGGCCACCGAGGTGCGGTCTGCTGCATCGGCACGATGGTCGAAGCCGCCGCTCAACCGCAGCGTGGAATCACAGCCAGCCAATGTCGGCGCGCTACGCGGCGACTGCTCTTCCTCGGCTATTAATTGCTTCAGTTTTTCATTGGAATTCTCTAGTGCCGAGAGGTGTGTAGAGCGCACCTCGTAGGCCTCTGTTTGGCGCTGAAGATTCTCGCTGATACGACCGCCAAATGTGCAACACTCTTCGGTCAACAGTTGCTTTACTTCGTGGTAACGCTCCAAATGCTGTTGCTGCCACGCGGACTCGAGGCGCTGCACGTTGTACTTAGCCTCCGATTCGTACATAGCCTCCACCTGCGAGAACGTGTACGACTCCGCCTCCAAATGCTCTTTGTATTTGCTCAGCAGCTGCTTCACAGTATCTGCGCGCGTGGTAAAGGCGATCAGTCGCTCCAGTATGCTTATGCAGAGCTTGATTTGATTGCAGAATGCCTCGGAGCGCTTGCGTATGAACACTTTGATTTTTCTCAAGTTAAACGCTTGCGATACGTCGCCAGTCGTCTCCATCACTAAGGTGCAGCTCTCCTCCAACAACTCCAACTCCTTCTCCAAATCCGCAAGGCACGTGCGTAAATGCTTCTCCTCCTCTTTCAAATCATCTGCTTCAACCTGGCGCTGCTTCAGCTCTCCCATATGCTTCTCCTGCAACACACGTATCTCCTTTATCTCTTTTTCGCGTATTAGTTGGCGTTCCCTTTGCACCTCTTCTGTGCGATTGATCTCCTTCTGTAGTCGAAGGTTTCGCTCCTGGCTCTGGGCCTCTTGTCGCTCACGATCCATTTGTTCTTCGATTTTCTTATCCAGCCAATTCAGTTTAGCGAGCGTTTCATTGCTAGACTTCGATTCGAACAGCACATTATCGTCGTCCACACCATGGCGCCAACGTCCGTACAACTTAGCCTCCAGGTCGAGTTTACGTTTAATATTTTCACGTTCTCTCTGATTGTGCCCAATCTTCTCTAGCTGCTCATTGGTCGCGCTTATCTTGCGCGGTCGTGGTCTATCGCGTGCCAGCAACTCTCTTTCATACATCGCCTTCTCTTTTTCAAAGAGTTCACGCAAGCGTTCGCGACGTTTATGCTGCTGTTGTTCCTTCTCGCGCTTTTCTCGGCGTTGCTTCAGTTGCTCTTCCGCATTCTTATAGTACTCGGGATTGGTCCAGTTCTCGAAGCGACTTGTCACTTTGCCCCAGTGATCGTAATAACGGTTAACAGCGGCTGTGCGCTCAACACGATCATGTTCAATTTCTCGACGGCGTGCAAAAAGTGCCTGCATCTGATGGGAATGTACGGACATCTTGGCCCTTTATTATTTGATCCACGAGAACGTCGTCTGTGGAAAGGGGAAATCTGCAAAATGTTGAAGAAAAATAAAGATGAAAGTAGTTTGAGAATTAGATATATTTGTAAATAAAACAAAATTGTGTTTCAAGTGTCAATATTGAGCTGTTGACATTTTTTACAAATTTTTATTTTTTTATTGAATGCAAGCTTAGAATTTTTCCACAGCGCAATAACACTGTATCAATCTGGAAGTTATTTTTTAAAACCCCAACGAAATAATGGCCAAACATTAGTCATTAGAGTTTGCTCCAATTCATAAAAAAAAAAATATTTTTGAAGTTTGCTAAAATTCTACATTTTGGTCAAAAACTAATCATCTAACATTTAATTTCTAATTCTTAAGTGACCTATAGTAAAATTAATGTCGCAATTTTCTCGTAGTACATTTTATACACCGTGAATCCTACCCAGAGATGTTAAGTATACATATTTGTATTTTCTCTTCATTAGTCGTCATATCATAAATGGTTTCCTTTTCCAACAGTGTCATTAATTTTATTTATATTTACAAATGCTCTTATTCGGATTACTAAAAAAGTACTAAAGTCATGCAAAGCGCAACACAAAAATTGGCGCAAGACGCCCACAAAATTTGGCAATTTTTTTTTTCTAACGGAGCATTTTCCTCCATACAAAAAAAAAAATCCAAAAATTAACGGTAAGTCTTAGCTACTTCAAACTTGCACTTTACTGTGTTAAACTTCACTGAGCTAACTTTGCGAAATCCTTTTAGGTGTTTGTTACAATTGTACAGTTTTATCGATCTATTAGTACCGTTAACACTTACACCCTAATAAACGAATGACAAAACTGTCTACCTTTGGCTGATGAAGACGAACGATTGCCAGAAGCGATCAGATACAGATAACAGATCAATTAAGCACCAAAGGTAATAATAAGTAATGAAGTGACATAGACCGTTTTGCAGAATCGTCGACGATATGTATGTTAGTGTTTGGCAGAGTTTCTCCTCCGATTTGTGGCATGCATCGCGATGTTGTCGCACAAAGGGGAGGGATCTACCGTTTTACGTCGACTCTAAATGGCGATTGTTTTTGTTATGAGAAGCTGTTTTTCCTGGCAGAAGGAGGATAGCCATTGCCTGCTGGGATATTAGCCAGAAACTGGGCTCGAACCCAGCGTATATGTACTGTGAATATATACAAAAATAATGCCGATTGAAATTAACAAAATAAAAATTTGTATAACATACATAGAAGCGTGGCAACCCTGATCGGAAATATTTTTGGACCAAAGTTCTCATCAATACCTTTCATTTGATTTCCATATTGCGATGTTTCAGATAAATTGTGTAGAATCGAAAATAAGTGGCAACCTTACACTAATATCCCAAGGGATACTTAGTATATTGGGAAGGAATTAAGAACCTTCTCTCGGTACCAATGAACAGTAATAATGCACCTTAATTTCCTAAACAAAAAAAATAAAAAAATACGCGATTCAAAATAGGTGGCAACCCTATTATTATTTTTTAATTAGAGATTTGATTTTTAAAATAATTTCCATTTATTATGATGTTTGAATCAATTTGTAACTAATTTCGAATAGGTGGCAACCTTATACAAGTCCTTTCGGAGATAATGGGCCGTATGAATAAAAAATAAGCAAATGCTTTTTCTTAAAATTTCAGACCTTTTACTCGATTTATTCAAACAAAATTGAAGTAAAAGGTATACAATTTTAAGAAAAAGTAATTGCTTAGTTTTTATTCATACGGCCAAATATTTATTTAGATAACCTTAGAATGCAAATTATTATGTGTATACAAAATTTAATCAAAATCGTACAGATTTACATATATAAGTGAATTGCTCGTTTAATGTAATAAAATATCAAACATGTTTTATAGCAACATAAAATGCTTGTTAAATTAATTTTAATTTTTTTAGTTTAAATTTTTATATTCGAGTAAATAATAAAGCAGCAGCCCTTCTATGGTAAGTCCTTTAGACTTACTTCGCTTGAGAAGGCCTATCTAACTAACAATTTTCTGGGATAGATGGAATAAAATGAAAATGGGTGGTCCTGATACTGATTCGATTCTACTTTTATGAAAAAAGTAGTGCAGTAATGGCAGAAAAATCATTTCTCATTATTAAATGAAGATTCGGAAAAATGGCTCTAGCTAGTTGTTTTAATAAAATTCCAAAAACGTGCACCTAATTTCACTCACACAAATTGCTTCATTATCAATGGCATTAATGCCGTTCGCTTGTGATAATGATAATCGTGTTAACTGATTTTCAACGGCAAACCGCAATGAAGTTTTCCCATTTTAACATTAAAATCTTGCCGCACAAACACCAAAATTTAGCTAAATTCACGCAGCCTAGTAAGTTAAACTGATACTATCGGGCAAACAAATAATGATGTAGGCCCAAATGGCAAGCGCTCTAAGCTCCTTTGCCAAATATAGGCGCATTTTTGTTCTAATTAATTTCATGGGCTTCGCTGATATGTTTCCATTCATTCCTCCCGCAGCGCACCAATGCCTGTGGGGCTAAATGGCAGTGACAGCGCTTAAGCAAACAAACAAACGGAAAAGTGTATAACAAAAAAAAATACAAGAATCCCAGGCGTGACACATCCACCTTTGTATCACTTTCCACCGCGCGTGTGAACCCTGACGCCTGATACCAGCGCATGAGCCAATACAGGCTGCGCCGGCTTTCACGCTTTGCCTGCGAATGTAGTGCTAATGATTTTGTTCTGCTGATTATTTACTCACACTTGCCAGCCGTGATTTCGTGTCCTGGTGACTTCGCAGCTCCACGCTCCATAACAGAGGCGTAGTATTTAACTATTTGCGCGCAGCATTCCTGTTGTGCTTTAAGCTTCCGGGCAACTCGACTCATTCTCACACACTCATTCTTTCACATTTTCATAACCCCCGTTATATTATTTTGCTCCCCCTCTCATTCGGCTGTTGGGTTATTTATTAGGTAATTTTATTTAGAGGCTTTAACAGCAACTTAAATGGATTTTATGTGCGTGATAATTAAACAAATCGCGCTTAATTGGATGGGTGCGCTGGCAGCGGGTGTTATGTACTTTGTTTCGTGTGATAACTACATACATATATGTATCAGCTATGTTGTGCATGCTGCTGCGAATCGGTGGTGCGATAGGCAAACAAATTGATTGGGCATATTTATATCGCACGTACATATGTATGTATGTATATTGTAATGGAATTTTGATGAAGTATTTTATTTGTCGATACAAGTGTACAGGATCCTTCTGCTGATTCAAATAAAAACAGGATGTGCGTGTGCTTGGCCCTTCCACGTATGATTGCCTAAGGGACTTCGAAGTAAAAGTGGACTGAATTTAGTTCGGTAAGACCGCACCGGTACAGACGATGAAATGTGCGATCATAAAGCAGCAGTAGTGCCTCTGATTACCAGTTTGGGGGTCTCATGCATACCCCATCTTTATTCAGGAAACCCATTAAGGGAACTCGCCTATCTCAAGGGCCAACTCTGCAGGGCAGTGTCCATCGATATTTTCTTCGAATAACCAAGTTAAGCTTTTGAAAGCATACTCCCGTCTACATTTAGCTTGATTTGCGAATCAGCGAAATATCTTAAGCTCTCGAAAATAATTTGTGCAGCCACTGCCACAGCCTGGTCTGCTGGTCCGCTGGTCCGCTCTCTGCAGCCAGAGAAGAAGTGCTTCACAAAAGTAATCGCAATGCGTTTTCGCATTTGTACAGATGCGGCTATGGCGGCTGGATTTTTTACATTCTGATTCTATTGTAATTGCGCTTTTAGAAATATCTTTAGGCATCCTTTTTAATGAGTTTCTGGGTCATAAGACTCTTGGATAAGACCATTCTTAGCTTTTCAGTGCCGATGCAGCTGTCAATGCTACTATCGAACCATAGCTTCTTGTTTCTTTAGATCCATATATAATGGAAGGGATATTTGAAGATTTTTACCACCCGACTGGTAAGAGAAACGAGTCCGCAGCTTCACTAACAAGGCTGTGGTCTTTAGCTTTATCTTTGCTAGCCGCAAGCGTGCTTTTAAGCATCATTAAAGGCTTAGGACAAGTAATCCTTCATCCGGATAGAAATCGACAGGTATTGGGGCGTATTCTTGTTTTTGTACCAATCGAAAATTTAAAATTGTTTTATACAAAATCATGGGAATATCTTACAGCATTCCGTAGTCCCTTTCTAATTTACATTTGTTATCGATATGGGTACATAACTTAAGTCAGGGTGAGACGATTGGGCATGTGTCGGAATTTTGATGTATTAGGCTTTATGTAAACCAATTTAGGCCAACAATTTCTTACATTTGTCAATTCAATTTCTAGCTGGGTTTATGTTAATTTTTTAATGCTGTAAATGTTAAACAAATTTTTTATTTTTGTACTAATAAAAAATTCTACAACTTTGTACTAGTGAACCAATCGTGTGACTCTGGCTTAACGATTTTAAAATCTATATATTCAACTTATGTAAAAGGCGCAACTCTCAAATCCTAAAACACCGCATCGCCCACATTTTATTTAGTTGCAAGTTAGTTTTCCTTTTTTACGCCCATCAATCCGACGCTCAAAACTGTCGGATGGGCCCACTTGCCAGCGATGCTTACTAAGCAATTTTATCTGAAACAATTGCCCTTACTGCATATGCGAAGCATTTAAAGAAAAAATCAATTCCCCCTTACAAATCTCTTACAGATAATGTCCGTCCAACTGTCTAAATATGTATCTATTGTATCTATATATGTACATATGTATTTCAAATTGTTTACATGCGTCAACAAGGCGCTATCGCTATGCTAATGAACCACTTTTAAGCGAGAAAATTCGCGATTTCTGCTGCAGAGGCAGAAAATGTTCAATGAAATTGTGGCAATCTTCGAATCATCAAAAGAAGACAACAGCTCTCAAGCCTTTGTGATGGATGGGCAATTTGTTTAGAAATCATTTGCGCGCAACAACGGTACTCGTACAGGAAATAGTTATGCCTAGCAAAGTATCAATAGCAGAAAGAAGAGCGGCAAAGCACAGAGTGATATAAAACAAAGGCCAGCAATGAAAAGGAAAGGCAAAGTAACAAAACCGCTAGATTGGCAAAGAATCGCTGTGCCGCCGCCTCGAACGGGAAGAGGAAACGGAAACTGAAACTGAAAAATAAAAATGGGAAACGAGCAATCAACCACGCGGCCGCTAAGGCCAGTCATAACGGAAAGTCGTTATGAGCCGTGCGGAAGCTAAGTTCTGCAGTATAGCGCGCAATCTGATTCCCCAGAATGCCAGAATGGAGGGTAAAAATCAGCTCGATTTGCGTGAAGACGACGATTGTCGCTGCCAAGAAAAACAAACGCAGCCATTGCCTTCACTGTGCCGTCATTGTTGTTGGTAATTGAGAGTAATGGCGCGCAGAGGCGGCGAGCTAATAACATAAAATGTGCCAAAATGATGACTGAGAACATAAAGATGCTGTGGAGTGATAGCGAGTGAGGAGCTCAAGGAAGAAGTGAGGGCAACAAGAGGAAGCTCTAAAAAATCTATGTAATCCAAGGACTGAAGAAAGCTGATGGTAGTCAAGCGGCAAATGTTTATGGCAGATGAGACGGCTTTAAAGAACATAATGTAAAAGAAAAAAAATCAACGAAAAGAAGAGCAATGGTGTTCGGAATTTACTAAATACTTACTTGAAAGCTTTGATGCCCACAGCGAACAATTAAAGTACATAAGTCACAGAGGAAGACGACCCGAGTGCGATAACGAACGTGCTGGGCTTTTTATTTGGTAGGCTCAAAATCTAGAAATAAAAACACCACCGAGTCTAGGGAAAGAAGCCGCGTGGGTAATGCAATGAAAAATAATTGAGGAGGAGGCATACGCCGCGACAGTGGGAATACCCGGACGGATGCTCATTTCCATGCAAACAGACATGCGGACAAACGGTCACGTCGCTTATAGACCACCGTAATTGAGACGGAGGCAGTCGCTAGCAGCCTATCGCAATTTTAAATAGTGATTTCCCCGGCACTCGCACTGATAAGGCACCACAGCAGCAGCAGCACAAAGCAATAACAATGCCAGCAATGACGAGGCAATAACGGAAATATGAGAGTCTAAGCCAAGCCGATGCTGATAAGCTCCTTGCTAGCGTAGATGGCATGGGCGGGAAAGAGGAAGTGGCGACGTCCACATTAATTGCGGTTTCGATGACGACACTGATTGTAGCGGTGTGCGTAGTAAAAATGACGGCGCTGAAACAATGTGCAGCCGATAGGCGTGGGAGGTGTTTTTTTTTTGGTTTGTTCCTTTTTTATGTTCCAAAGAGATATACATTTCGCACTGATTGTTTATTCGGAAGGAAAATTCTAAAAAAAAGAGGCCCTTAAATCTTCGAAAAATTACATACCGCCCATAAATGTTGCACACAATAGGAAGCGCCAACATAAGCTGCTATAAAATGCTGGCGCAGTTACGACCGAAGGTCACTAATACAGGCGTCGCAAGTGGTTCCAAGTAAGCGAAAGCAGAGGCAGTGTTTTTGTGCAAACCATTAAAGGAAATATTTGTGGCGAATAGAACTTCAAACGTATTTAAAATGTCAACGGCAAAACGCACAGTTTTCATATTCACTCAGCTGTTGCTACTGGAGTGCTTCCTGAAGGCCGAAATTCAAGCAGGTATTTGAGCTTCGTAGTGAAATTCCAAACACACATTTTGATTCTTAAACATAATGTGTTTTAAATTCATATCAAACGAAAACTTATCAAATACCATCGCCGACCGCCAGTCGAACGAGCAAGTAAGTTCATGGCAGGCCAATGCCAACAATGCCACCACCGCTACATTTGTTGCATGACAAATGTTTTTGGCGGCAGCGCTTCACGCAACATTCCACCTGGATGGTACATAAATACATACGTATGTACATACATACGCTTTGTTTGCTTCAATTTACATTTCAAACTGGAATTGCGCCTACAATTTCACCAGCTGTCAGACCGCACTCATCAATCTTGTCTAACATTTCAACTTTGTGACTTTGCGTGAGTGCCGGAATTGAACTTTTCTTTATAAAATACCATTTTGAATACTCGCCCCAGAGCGTTAGCAAATCCGTAGAGCTATACAGACACCTTAGAAAAAATTAATAGCGAAATTAAATGAGTAATTGATGACATTTGGTTTTCCGGCTAAATCAGACTTAGATTGAAATTGATTATACTTTTCAAAAATTTGCTCATTAACTAAAGCTCTACCCAGAATTACAGCGAACGGCGGTGAAGCGGTATGAATATAATAAACATAAAAATCAAAACAAAAATAAGCATAAAGAAAATATTGTTATTGATTTTTCTATCGATATTTTCGGAACTTATCGATATAACGATCGGTATTTTTATTGAATTTGTTAACGATATTTTTTATCGATATTTTTATCATATTCGTTATCGATTTTGTTATCGATTTTGCTATCGATTTTGTTTCCGATATTTTTATAGATTTTGTTGTCGATATTTTAATTGATTGTGTTAACGATTTTGCAATCTATATTATTATCGCTTTTGGTATCGATACTTTCATCGATTTCGTTATCGATATTGTTACTGATTTTGCTACCGATATTTTCGGAACTTATCAATATAAAGATCGATGTTTTTACCGATTTTGTTATCGATATTTTTTTATCGATATTGTTATCGGTTGTTTTATCGATTTTGTTTTCGATTTTGCTATCGATATTATTATCGATTTTGCTATCGATTTTGTTGTCGACATATTTATCGATCTTGTTGTCGATATTTTTATCGATTTTGTCATCAGTATTTTTATCAGTTTTGTTACCGATATTTTTATCAATTTTGCTATCGATATCTTTATCGGTTTTATTATCGATTTTGCTAACGATATTGTTATCGCTTTTATTATCGTCATTGTTTTTTTTTTATACAAACTGCAGACCAAGACGAAGGGACTGGACTGTTCCTTTTTTTAGCTCTATTTTAGCCAAGTCAACAAATAGTGCGCCTAGCAGCATGCGAGATTTGACGCTGAAGCGATCTGTACAGTTGACTATAATTTTAGCACCGCATATAAAATTCTCAAACACTGAGATCGCACGTTTTATAATATAGAGATGTAACTCAAAATTTACGTTTTTTGGAGATTTCATCATACAATTAATAAGCTTGATAAGTAGAACATGTTCAACCTAAAAGATGGCTTAACTTCCCAAAAATGGCGAAGATATTGGTATTTTCAACTGTCTTTTTGACTTTGATTGCGTTTTCCCACAAAATTGAAATTTCGAAATACTTTTGCATATGATTAAAAGTGCGAGATGTATACACCTGAATTTTGGACATGCTTCGATACAAACCCCCTACTGCTTCTGCCATTTCTTCTACTCCATATTTTTATTCTCTCATTTCAAACACAGTTCCCGCGCATTTTATCCAGCACAGGTGTACAAATTCATATCGAATGAGAATAATAAATCTTCGCCTCTCCATGAACCCACTTAACATTTTCAACACTTACTGTCTCTACTTTTTGGCAGCGCCAACCGCGACCACCAACACGAAAGCGTCGGCAACCTTCCAGTATCGCAATCGAGTTGCTGCAACAACAGTAGACAACAATATGACCAACAACAACCACAGCAGCGCTAAATACAATTTGAAATGGACAATTCGCAGCGCTTGGCAGGCGGCATCACCGCTTCACGCACCCACTCGCAACGGTCGCGTGGATGGCGTGTCACATGTGCTCATTCATCACACCGCAACACCAGCGGCCGCATGTCGACGCAACGCCAACGCATGTGCAGCCACCGTACGCGCCACACCACGCACGCATCAGCAGGGACGCGGTTGGGATGACATCGGTTACAATTTCCTAATCGGTGGCAGTGATGACCGCGCCGAGATTTATGAAGGGCGTGGCTTCGACGTTGTGGGGGGGACACATGCTGTCGACTACAATGCGCGGAGTGTTGGAATCGCTCTAATTGGCGATTGGACAGGTGAGTGAGTGGCTAAGTGCCGGAAAAAGGGCAAAAAGGCAATGGTGTGTTTCGAGAGGGGCAAAGCTGCAACGAAGTGGGATGGCGTAACAAGGTGATTCCTGGTATGAAATATCACTCAATTCTAAGATGTATTTGTGGCCAGCGAGGTGAGTGCGGCAGAATGACTTGGGTGCTTGCATGTGATTTGAATGATTGCGCAATGGCGAGTGCGATTTACGGTATTGCCATTTATGCAAGCGGAAAGCGAAGAGCGGAAAGTAGTTAAGATTATGAATTGCAGAAGTTTATGTCAGCTAGCTAGCTTAGAAGCTGCAATACGATGTGTAGCATATGCGAGTAGCAGATCTATTTGTGATAAAATGGGAGCGGTAATTGTTGAATCATATTTTAATAAATTTTCCAAATAATGTAGAAATATTTAATATCCTTAAATACTTTCATGAGCACTTTCTCTTTCTTTTATATCGCCAACAGACACTCTACCGCCTAGCGCTATGTTGGTTAAACTGCAGAAACTTATAATTTACGGCGTGCAAGTGGGTTACATTCACCGAAGCTATGCACTGCCAGGCCATCGCCAAGTGAAAGGCACATACTGTCCGGGTAACCGCCTGTGCAATGAGTTGAAAGAGTGGGCGCACTATGCGCCATCATGCCACATGAACGTGGATGAAAGGAAAAAGTAAACGCAGGCGTCTGGCAAGGAATGAAAAGAACGGAGATGGGAGAAAATGTGGCAGGAAGAGAGGGGATTGAATTATGGGTTGTAAATGAATTTACAAATTAGTGAGAGTAATGTTATTTTTTTTTTAATGTCTGCTGTCCAGTTGTTTAGTCTGGCGCTTAGTTAGAAAATTTAATTGGTCCTGAGTGCGAGCGCCTATAAATATGCATAGCTTGGTGGTGAAGCATAGAGGCAAAAGGAATGCGCAGCCAAAGAAGAACTGCAGAAGACCGTGGCTTCGATAAAAATTTAATAACATATTTAATAAAAACATAAGAATTTTAAGCAAAATATAAATTACTAAAAATTAAATGGAAAAATTATTTTGAGACTAGCGAATGAAGCTTTTGCCACATTTAATCTAAGGGTTCATTCGACTTTGGTCGAAAATAAGTATTCAAAATTGCTCCGAAGAAATACAGCAGGACTACCAATGCACGAGGTGAGTTAATAAACCTGGGAACTAAACCGTATTTTGTTACTGCTGTAGGGTGGAAAGCCTTAGAGTTAACAATTTTCTCATTAGCTTGTCGATGTTCGCAATCGCAGCAGGTGAGCTAGTCTACAATAGCGATTACTATTGCCCTAGATCTTGGGGTCTTAATCTTCAGAACTCAAGATACTCTCAGACAAGAATTTGAGGATTAACTCTCTCTCTTAACGATATTTGAGAAACGCCGATTTCAAATAATATGTTAATATACCCACTAAAATCTACCATCGGGATTGGACATAAATCCCATAACTAACTGGATATGCTCAACAGGGTCACTCTGTGGTGAGTCTCGGTCTATGATGGCATCGAAACCCTTTCCTGCACCCTGGGCAACATTAGCAATTTACATGCATATACATTTACATACTTATTTGGTTTAAGGACTCTCTAAAGTCAGCCGATCCAGAGCCGGGCGAAGGTGCCTCTAACTCCCGCCAAATAAAACATGCACCGCTCTGTAGCGAGAGCGCCGACAACCTTTCGTTCAAGCAGAGGGGAGAGAACCGGGTATCGGCGCAGAAGAACCTCATCGGAGGCGAATGGCTCTCAATGGTTACGGACTAACTGGCAAACTATTTCCGGGTGACAGAAAGATGACAGCGGTGATCTAGCAAGACTGACCTAACCTCGCACAAGTTTAACGCTTTATAATTACACTGGTTGAGAATTAATTGGTGGGCGCGGTCGCAATCAGTTCAGCGAACGAAATGGTTGGTGGTTAATTTGAATACGCTGTTCTTCTATTGCTGGCGGTTTTTACCGTTGGTTATATGTGCGCACTGCAGCAGAGCATAGTTAGCTGCATGTTGTAGTGCAAAAAATGCTACGTTACACACTAAAATTTGGAAGATGCACCCAGCAATGGGCTGGGCGCTCAGCCTAAAACCCGCCACGTAAAACTCACTACCAATGACTGAATAGAAAAACAGCTCGTAAGTAACACAACCGCTTTCGTTTAATTTAAAACCTGTGAAAATTTAGCAAATGAACTTTGTTGTCGAAATATAAGGCGCGGGCGGAAGTCAAAATTCGTTACCACACTTTTGTGCAATACTAATATAACTTTAGTTATTAATTGACAAAATGCACCGCACACATAAAATCAAAACGTTTTTAAGCCACTTGCGAATTCATCGAAAAAAAATGAAGCGATTTCGCCGCTCGATAGCAGTACTCGAATTATTATCCAAAAATCACTGAACGATACTTCCACCTTGCCGTTCGCCCAAAACTGGCCCACACAAATTCATCGATTACTTCCACCTCCGCGCATCCCAAAATAAAACTGATTGTAATTTCATTTTCCGGCAGACGAAAAACTCAATTTAGCCGTTACTCAACTGCGTTTTCCAAGCACCCTTCGCAGCCGTCCCGTAAAGCACTAAATCAAAAACAAATTCAGTTGTGGCGAGCGATTTAAAAGCGCGATATACTCTTTGAGCTGAACATTTGAATATGGACTCGCAGCTTACGGCAAAAGCCCATCACAAATTGTGCGGTTGACAGTAAATATGTATGTACGTCGCGCGGAACCCATCGCAGTGCTGGATCAGCGCGGTACCACCAAACTAACTAACTAACTAAGCAAATCATAACCGCCGATGCGGCTCGAAAACGCGTGTGGATTTTAGCGCCCAAAGCTAACTTGGCAAATCTGACATATTTCAATTTTTACGGCTCAGCGTACACACGGACGTCGAGCGTTTTCAATTTGTGTTACAAAGTTTTCAAATACAAAACTAAAATACGCGCAAATCCATTGGGGCGGGGCGGTGGTGGACGGATGTGAGCTCATGCGTATAAGTGTGTGTGTGTAAAAATGGATTTGTATATGCTCGTGTTTGTACGACCTGTGGGTATCATAAATTCGATATTCAATTTCTGTTTGGCATATTTATCTGACGGCATCGCACAGCTCAGCACAAATCGTTACACAAACATATTTTAGCATGGAAAAATTAGCCTGATCGATTTTCTCGGTTTGCTGCAAAAGTGTATATGAGTGAGTGCATATTAGGATGGTTGGTTTGTTTTCCAAGGGCCTCACATTAATGTGGGATAGGTTTAAAAAAAATAAAATAATTATCTTTTAGGATATCGGATATTTGAATATTCGTGTATACGGTTAATATCCGTTATATTTTGTTATCCGGATAACCGGTTAATATCTGTAAATTTTGCTATCCAAATTCGGATTTATAATAAAATTATAAAAAATAAATAATCAAAATAAAAAAAGTACCCAAAACTAGTTAAAATGTCACTTGATTCAATCAGCTGGCCACAAGGGTACATACATACATGCTCACAAAAATATTCGTATCGCACATGTTCTTCAAAAGTATCTGATATCAAAAATTACCATTTTAGATGTTATGAAATAGAATTTTTCACATATCTTATATTTCCCCTCCCTGTAAAAGCTGAACCAGCATTTTATGCTACAATAATTTGTAGCAGAAAGCACAGTAAAAACTACCTCGTCGTACTATTTGGTACTACCAAGCATTTGTCGGTTTGAGTCGGCTGCAAAAACATCACCAATTGCTTTACTACTTTGTTAAATTTTGCCATTGTTCATACCGAGTGCGGATAAGTTCTACTGGACGGACAAAGTGCACAGTATAGACTGTATGGGGAATATTGTTAAGATGAGCTCAGATTATATTGAGTTTTAGGTTTTTTGAAAAAAGGGAATTTTTGAGTTAATACACTTTTCTTATATACATATATAAATAATACACATGTATGCATATGTATTTACGCACTTCAATTTTATGTATTTTTTTGTCTGAGTGAATCAATATTCACTCTGGCGTAATTAAAGGAAAATAGAGAAAGTCAAGAAAAACAATGAATTTGATGGGGCGAAATGTGGATATGTAAAAGTCGTCTTGACAAAGACCTACTTTTGTTTATTTCCTTTTTCCGGGAAATAATTAAATTAATTGCTAAAATAAAATAAATTGCTAAATAAAATAAAGGACTGCTTAGGTATTTCCAAACAAACCAAGAACAATTAGGAAGAAGAAACTTTAATTTAAGAACAGTAAATTTATCTGGCTGCTGTGGCCTTTCATATGTGTATGTATATACGTACATATCTGTTATGTATATGAACATAACACAATTAAACACATAGAGCACAAAAATTAAATGTATGATTTTACTTTTGTTGCACATAAAATCATCTGCCACATTCCAGCCACAACTCGATTATATTAAGTTTTTTTGAGTACCTACACGAAACCTTTGGTGTAATACCATCAGCTTGAAAAAACTGCATACACGTACATGTATGTACATACATACAAATCTAGGCGCATACATGCTTGCATACATATGTACGCATATACATATCAATCACGAAAATTTTACAACGTGCGCCATTGCAACCTAAAGCCAACAAACCTGCCAACACCGCAAGCCAAGGTGCATGCCTTCAATGCGCGTGTGGCATCCTCGCACGTTACGACGACGACTGAATTCACACCAGCGCCAAAACAACGGCACTGGCACCAGTACCAAAATCCCAAACACCAACGCCACGCACCAACTCCTGAGGATGCAAACGGTTTAACATTTCAAAAAGCTACAGCAAAATAAAGTGTAAATTAATATATAAGTCCAAGGGAGTAGCTCGAGCGTACACGTATTTTGTTTACATATGTATGTATGTATGTATGTATGTATGTGTGTGTGTGCATATGGTGCAAGAAATTTCCATGAGTGTGCATTTTAATATTTTTCTTTTAACACAAAACATCATTTTGATATGAGAGCACGCGCACAGCCAAGAAAGCAAATGCAACGCACACATGCCGCATGTAAGTATGTATGTATGTAAGCACCACATGCACTTAGAGGTGTGCTTCTAGGCGCCTTTTGAGTGAATTGCTATGGCAGCATTACTTGTGTTTGCACATACATACACACATACATAAATATATATATACATAAACTTACAACAATACCTGAGTATATTTATTTATGGCAGCTTCTTAAAAAGAAACCCGATGCGATAAAATTGCTGCATTGTACTTACTTTTAGTTGCTGTTGTGGCGTTTTTCTCTTTTGTTTTTGTTGCCTATTACTTTCACTTTTGTTGCATCACACATTTCCGTGTGCCACTTCAATTCACAAACATTTGTACGAGTATCTGCAACACGACTGTTGTTGCATAAACAGGTTGTCATAATTTTGTATGACTTGAGATAATGTAATGAGTTGTTGTTGTACGTATGCTCGCCGGGTGACGATAAGACGGTAGGGCGGCAGCCTGATAGCGGAGTTGCCAAAAAGTCTTAGTGTGAGGGCTAGAGGATCTGTCAAAGGCGTTTGACACCGTCAGCCGCTCCAGGCTATTAGAAGACATTGAGGCTTCCTCTCTCGCACAGGCACTCAGCGAATTTTCTGAGTCATCAACATTCGTCGGTAATTTTTAGAGATAAAACCAGCAAACCAA